AATCAATAGGTTAATTGCAGCTTTGTCAATGTGTGCGAGAATGTGATTAGTTGTATGTTCAGCAATTGACAAGCTGTGGGATTTATTTTTTATTTCTTTATTGATTGCCTTCAACAATGAACAAGACAAGAGAGCGAGAGACTGTGGGTGGTATTGATTGATTGACCCCAAATTAGCCCCTTCTTTCCATCCTCCTCCCTTAGTCAAAGTACAGAGTCATTCAGGACAGACTCGATCATAACACTGGAAAAACTCACAAAAGCTCATCAGCCTTTTGCAAAGAAATCACTGAAATAGCATATAACTGCAAACCATTGTTTATTATTTAATTGAATAATTGGGCCTAAGTCAAGTCTTTCCAGTCATTTTTTTGTGCTCTCTTTCTCTCATGCTTTCTCTCTCTCTGTAAGCCCCCTCATTCCTCTTGTTAAACATTTCTTCACCTCTTAATTGTTTTGAAGGAAGCAACTGTCATCCTCATTAGAGCTCATTGATTTCCTGGTTGTTAGAGGATTGATTTTTGAAAGTTCCCATTGATCCCGGGCTTAAATCTCTCTGCCGTTCTCTCTCGCACTCCCTTATATGGCCTGTTTATCCACACACAACAGAGTCGACGCCACTGAAATGGAAGTGATGAGTCAATAGAGAGGTGGACAGATAAATAGATAAACAGAGAATTTATAGAATAATCAACATCTCCCAGCTCATGATCTCAGAGAAGGAATGAGAAATAGTCAGCGAGATGGAAAGGAAGGTGATGGGATATCTATATAAAGAAAAAGAACTTGCTTTTTCTCTTTATTTTCTGAGTGATTGGACACAGCTGAGGGTGACCACTGATGAAAAGGCTGAGAGACCTTTCCTGACCAAATGTGAGTGTGTGGCCTGTGTCTCCTCTGAAACGGTGTGTATTCATGGGGAATAGAACTGATCTTGTCCATTTGCTGTGATGTGCTCACGGCGGAATGAGAGAATCACACATTTCTTTTTCCCCTCATCAGGATTTTCATCTTGGAATGAGAATGTTTTTGGAGGGTTTAATGCAATTGATTTCTACTTTTTCTTTCCTATTCCACACATAAGCAGTGCAACGTGCTCTCCGTGATTGCATGCGTCAACACTCCTCTCTGCCTTTTTTTGTCATCGTCTTCATAAGATGATTTCTGTGCCAAATTCAAATGCCCTTTACATACATTCTCTCTTCTTTTTGAATTTCCAATATCACTCTCATAATCAATTATTCTTCAATTATTATGTGAATAAAAGCTTATTTTATTTAATTGCGCCTCTTCAGAAAATTCGGACAAAACCGCTCTGGAATAGTTTTACAATCTCTTTATAAACCTTTGTAGCCTCAAAGTGGTAGTTGCGTAGGCTGTCAATGAAGGGACAAATCTTTCAGATTTCATTAAAAATATCTTTATTTGTGATGCAAAGATGAACCAAAGTCTTACGAGTTTGAAACGACATGAGTGTGAAAAATTAATGACAGAATTTTTATTTTTGGGTGAATAATACTTTTAATAATGTCGTTTGTTTACCATATCAGTTCAAGCCGAGTCAGATTCTGAAAATGCCTCAAAATCATTAAATAATTCAAGAAATAAATTCTTGAAAAGATAACCTTAAGTAATTTGGCACAATTTACGGTACATGTTATTTTATAAATGTCACAAAGAAATATTATCATTATTAATAATAAAACATTTATCATTTCCTTTCAAATCATCACTGTAAAAAAATATTTTTCTTTTGTCAAATCAACATAAATAATTTATTTAGTTGTGATTACTTATTATTTTGAGTTTCTGATGATTAAATTAATCTCCTTCATTGTATTAACTCACTTTTTCCAGTTCAATCAACTTAAAATGTTAAGGCAACCGGGTTACTTACTTTTTTAAGTTAAACCAACAATGTTTTTTACAGTGAAGTCTTTTAAACTATCAGATATTTGATTCTGTATGACACGACTGAGTTCCGGTTATTAAATAACATGTGGTGCTATTATAAAGATATTTGTGGATTAATAAAATGTGATAGTTGATCAGAAATACTTTTTACCTTGAAAATACATTTAAAACCCTGTTTTAATTACTTAAAAAAAATTATGTATATACAAACAGACATACATTTCTAAGAACTCAGCACTTTTTTAAAATTAGATTTTAAAAAGATTTTCTTTCAAGGCTTTTACTTTACGCAATTTCATGCATTTGTTTCTATATTATTTTCTATATATATATGTTGTTTTTTTCTCCGTGGCTGGTTCTCCAATGTGGCCAGATTCCCATTCGCTTCTGCTGACCAATGAGTTAGCAGCACCTGCTGTGTCCTAGAGAGAGAGAAAGGGAGAGGGAGGAAGAGAGAAAGAGGAAATCGATAGGAGAAGTGATGAGGAAGGGAGGTGTAGATTAACGTCTGAAGGCCTTGGGTCTGGGGGGGGGGGGGGGTCGCGGGGGGCCGCCTTAGGACTTAGCCATGAGGCTGTAGCTCTCCTCAGTAAATCTCTATACGCCACAGGAGTTAAAACACCCCTAAATTATATATCCGCTGAAAAACATTAAAGTGATGCAGTCAAAAGTAAAAAGAAATGAGGAAATCAAATTTAGTGCCACTGTCCTGACCAATGTACCAACATTTCCTTCAAGTGACTTTTGCAAAATGCTTCTTGTATTGCAACCCCACCAAGAATCACTGGTTGTCGAAGGAGAATATTGCGGTCGCACGTTCACACATGAGCACTGCAGCACTGCGGAGGATAATAAATTTATCTAATAAATATCATTATTTTTGGACCAATCTCCCACAATAAAGGAAGAGCAGTGAGGGATGGCACCGGGGACTGGCTGGGATATTGGCAATATATCAGCATTGATTATTGAGAGTACTGACAGAGACAGAGAAGGAGAAAAGGGGAGAGGGAGTTCATAAAAACTAATAAAAGAGACAACGAGTGAGGAAGGAACTGAGGCTTTAGATGGATCTGCCTTTCTGCTCTAAAATAAGAAAGCAAAAAGTGTGTGTATGTGTGGATGATGACTGTAAGACATAAATGTGTATGTTCACTTATATAAGCACTAAAGTTGATGCTTGAGATGTGATAATCGCAGAGAATCTTGTGAGACGTCAACTCTTTCTGAGCTCTTTGAATATGTCTGTATGTGTGACGGAAAGAAAGGGAGAACGAGATGATGTAGCAGAGAGATATTATTGATTATACTTCCATTTTGTTGATAAAAGCGAATCTAATCTGACTTGCTCATCTGTCAACGTGGCATCATTGTTTAGCAACAGCAATCACAAACCCACAAGCACACATAAAAAACTGCTTATTCTTACATTCTCCCAGCCTGCTCTTTTCCTCCATTAAATTAATCATACTTTCCACTCTGCTATATGTCTCTGTCTGGATAATGTGTGTTATAGCCTAAGAGAATTTATTATTTCCTGTGCGCATAAGCATGGAATATTTCTGCAGTTGTCAAGACGTGACAGTTTAATCATCAATAACAAACACAGCAGCATTAATCATGCATGCGTTTCATTCCACGCTCGTGTGAAGTCGTCTGAAGATCTGCGTGCTAAAGCTGTCACCGCTCTTTGGTAGACAGGCAATTGCTAGCAGCAAACTGTGTTTTAAGGATGCTTGTGATGTCATCTAAATAATTAATTCCACAACGAGCAAAATGACAGGCAGCCGTTTTGTCAATTTTCACAGCACTGTGTGGAAAATTCAGAAGCGATGTTGTTTTTAGTAGTTTGATCAGTGAAGTTTTTCTTCATTGGGTTTTTGATAAACTTACATTTGTTCAGGATTTCATTTGGATTTGTTATGCATATGATAACTGGATAACATGAAGTCATAAGTTGTATTTGTGTTATATACGCTTAAAAATAAATCCGGGGTTTTCACAGCAATGCCATTAGACCCATTTTTATGCTTATAAAGGGTTCATTGGGGTTCTATATATGAAGCATAGGGTTCTTTATGCTAAAAAGGTTTCAAAATGACAAGAAAGAAGGTTCTTTATAGGCGATTATTCATTCATATATTACAATATCCTGCAACATTTTGTTGTTGTAATTAAATTATTGTATATTAAACTACTGTAGTAACTTAATATCACATTTAATTCATGCTGATTTTTGGAGGAGAAAACCTGAAATGGCACTCTTCGTGTGATATTGATTAACTGCATAAAATGATATAAATAGCCTACATACTAACCACTATTATACTATAACTATTTAACTATTTTCTAACGTATAACTATTATCTATTATCTATCGATATACAGTAACTATTTTCTAACCCCCATATCTTGAATTTTGTGATTATTCACATGCATTCATAAATACATTTTAGGGTCTTGATGTTTGTCAATAATATGAAATATTTAATCCAGAAAAGACACAACAAATTATAATGAATGAACCCAAAAGGTTCCATATAGAACCTTTTTCCTGGTTACAAAGAACCCTAAAGGATTATTTTCTTATTGAACCCTTAAAAAGGGTTCTGTTTTGAACCTTTTAGGGTTCCAAATACGTACATTCTATATAGAACCTTTTCTTCTAAGAGTGTGTTGAAAAACATTTTAGGAATAGGAAGGAATATATATAGGAAGGAAGGAAGGAAGGAAGGAAGGAAGGAAGGAAGGAAGGAAGGGAGGGAGGGAGGGAGGGAGGGAGGGAGGGAGGGAGGGAGGGAGGGAGGGAGGGAGGGAGGGAGGGAGGACGGACGGACGGACGGACGGACGGACGGACGGACGGACGGACGGACGGACGGACGGACGGACGGACGGACGGACGGACGGACGGACGGACGGACGGACATGAGGGTGAGTAAAAGTTTACAGAATTTTCATTTTTTGGGTGAACAGAAAAAAATAGTATCGATAAAATAGTATTTGCAAGCATATCACATTCACGTTTTAGTCTGCAGTGATTCATTTGTGAAAATATATATGTGAACATTTTTAAGTGTGTATGTCAAGTCAAGCCAAGTCACCTTTATTTATATAGCGCTTTTATACAATACAGATTGTTTCAAAGCAGCTTTAGTGAACATTTGATACACTTGTTCAGCTGAAGTCAGTACCGTTGTAAAGATCATCAATTATTAGTTCATTAGTTCTCATTTCATCTATAAAGCAATTCTGCCAAAAATAATGTCATCGTTCAACTCAGTTCCGTTCTCATTCAACAGTGTCAGTACATCAGAACAATAATATTGTTGAATATTAAGTGTCCCCAACTTAGCAAGCCAGAGGTGACAGTGGCAAGGAACCCAAACTGGTGTCAGAATGGAGAAAAACAACTTTGGGAGAAACCATGCTCAGTCGCTGGGCCAGTTCTCCTCTGGTGTGTGTGAATAAGAAACAGCTTTTCTTTCCCATCACTCCAGGAAGCCACATAAACAATAGCTAGGTTTGTTTAGATGAGGAGTGCACAGCTATAGGAAGGAGGTGTTAGCTCCCTATCCTTCCAACACCATCTTATTTTCCTCTCCCTCAATTTCGCACTCTCTCTTTCCCTCCAGTCCCTCTCTCCTTCTCTTAGATGTGCACAACCACACTATATTCTACAAGAAATAATTGCTTTTGTCTGAAAGGAGTACTGGAGGGAGGGGCCCGAGCGCCCCGTTACCTCAGCGCGTCAAGGGGGTATGCGAGGGACAACCGGTCACTCCGTTTCATCTGTTTCACTTGACCTGCAGATGTCATCTGTCAATAGCGAGATTCAAGGATGGACAGGGACAATGAAACACATCCTTTTATTGAACAAAATAAGGATGGAAAGCGGGATGTTGCAGACGTCAGAGACCCCCCAAAAATGAACACAACATGGTCTTCAGCAAGAGCAGTAATTGTATCACTTTTATTAGTAATGCAAAACAACACAATGTCTACGTCATTATATGTGGCAAGTAGATGCCAAAAAGCATCATTTGTGTTTTGGTTTACATCTCGGTCATTGCCAAGACTTCTGAGCCTGAGCTCACAGAGAGTTTTGCTGCCTAGTGGAATCGATTTGCTCCTATCGACTGGAGTGTTTAGCGAATAGATTTTTCTATTTAAAAATCTATATTGACAATAATCTTGTGTGTAAGTGCGCCGCAGCATGGTTTGCAATTGACAGGGCGTGATGAATTGGTGGTAGGAGAGAGAAGCAGCGCCGCTCGCTGATTAAGGCCCCCGGGAGGTTTGCTGGCATGTCGAGATTTCCTAGCACAGTGTTTCCCAACCCTGGTCCTTCACGGAGGCCTCCCCAACAGTACACTTTTTGGATCTCTCCCTCATCTGACGCACCTATTTCAGGACTTTCAGTATTATAATCAGTGTATTGAGAAATGTGTGCTGTTGAGGTGCGCAAGAACAGAGCTGAGAAACATTAAAAGCTGGCTCTCCTAAGATCAGCCAGTTTTGCTTCTGCTGTTGTTCTGTATCATTATTGGTAAACAATGTTTATTGATGGAAACAAATATATAACTGTCTGTGAGACTTAAGTGGAAATTAAGGGAATCTCAGGTGTGATAATCAGAATTTGGTCGATTTGTAGTTGTCAATAATAAGACAATAAGTTTAAGCGAATGCAGTTTATAGAAATATGAACACATCAGCTCACATATGGCATTGTTAATCAGACAGTGGACACTTTTTTATACCTTAACCTAGGCCAGCATGTTCAAACAAAGGTAATTATATAATAGGGGTTCAATCAACCTGTATTTACTTACCCTATTAAATACATTGAAGAAACACATTTTTTATTAGCAACTTTAAAAAAAAAATCATGACCTAAATTTTGCCATTTATTGTGCTCTTGTTTGAATGAATCATGAATGAATGACAGTTAATGAGTTGAAGTTAACACTTTATTTTACAGTGTCATTGTTAGTAAATGTATTAATAACTATAAATTATGCATAATTAATTACATGCAATTAATCCTCAACCAAATCCTCATCGTAAACATAACCCTATAGTAACATGTAGTTAGCCTACTCAGTAAAGGGATACTTCACCTCTGGAAAGATGATTGTGTATTTAAAATGGGTCTTTTATGTAGAAGAAATGAGAAATTATTTTGAGATTAAATTAAGTTTAAGCTTTCTAGACTGAGAAAAACAAGAAAATGTAGTTTTGGCTCATCTGGATGAAAGACAACAACTCCCAGAATGCACTTGCTTCGCTGCCCTGGGAGGCCACGCTTACTGGTAACAGAGCGCAGTAGTTAAACAACAATAGTGAGTCTCCGTGATTAGTCTGCCCGGGATTTCGAGATCGCCCAAATTCGGGATTCCGCTTTTTGAGTTCTTCAGTCGCCATTCGTGAGCAGGACGAGTGAGGGGAGAACGGCGCGAGGCTGTTGGCATGATTACAGATGAACGACATCTGTAATCATACCAAGTCCTCACTCGTACGAATTAATACAATTTTGCTAAATCGTACATATTTTACAAATTGGCCAATTCGTATGAATTCGTACGAATGACCTACCCCTGACCCCGCCCGTAAACCTAACCATCACGTGGGTTTAGACAAATCGTACGAATTAGAACGAATTAGACACTTTTTAATCATGCGTCAAATTCGTACGAATTGGTCGTGAGATAGTGTTGTCTTTATCCTCTGGCCAAAAAATCCTCCGATAACACCAAAATGACGATTTTTGCGTCATCGGAGGATTTTTCCAGACAAAAAAATACATAAATCTCTCGTCTCAGGGAGATATGAGAGTGGAAAGCATGCAATTCAAAAATACTACAGGTTTACTAATACAAAGCTAATGCTAAATCCTGAAGTATCCCTTTAAAGTAGCCTATAATTACACCGTAATACTGATACCTTAAAATAAAGTGTATTGAGTTGTTTAAAAATATAGGCTAGTTCACCCAGAAACTCCACCATCATTTACTCGCTCTGATGTTGTTCCAAACCTGTATGATTTTCATATGAGCACAAAATGAGATATGTCTTTTGTCCATAGAATGAATTTGGAACTTAATTTGAAAATGGTGTGCATGCATGCAAACGTTGTCACTGGGTTAGCTTTCTTTCTTTTTTTTTTCTTTCTTTTTTTGTATGTTAAAACTGTGTTTGCTGTATTTATGAGCACCGTTGTGTTACTCTTAGGTGAATTAGTATTATTGGAGAGAGATGTTATTAGCTCAGTCCATGTGTGACTTTACCTTTCAGCGAGGCAAGCGCAGGGGTACGGAACCGTTAAAGAGAGAGAGAGAGAGAGAGAGAGAGAGAGAGAGAGAGAGAGAGAGAGAGAGAGAGAGAGAGAGAGAGAGAGAGTGGGGGTGGGGTGGTGGTGATGTGAGAGTTGTAACGGCTCCGCTTGCGCTTCAATGTTGCAGGCAGCGTGGAATCGGAGCGCGCGAGCGTATGGGAGGAGAACGTGCGCGAATAAGATATTGGGGTTCCCAAATAACGGGAACAGGCAGACAGACAGACCAAAACACGCAGGCGGATGGACGGAAATATAGGCAAGTGTTCTTAAAAACCAGCGACAAATCGAGCTCTTTTCCCCTGATGTTTTCGTGCTTTATTCATTTGTTTGCCTTATTTAGTCATGTATCGATTGATTGCGTTTTAATTACTGGCGTGTGACAAGGTGCGTGGGAGGAGGGGCGAATCCGGCGAGCACGTTGAGTTGCCTTATTTTTCTATAGATTTTTAATTTAAATGAGCAAAATAAGCAGACGATTTTAACAACGTTTACTACTTTGTGTAAATGAATGTGACCTGTAGCTGCTAGAACAAGGAAGAGAGCTATATAAGAGCTAGACCAAAAAATGCACCACATATCCAAGTAATAACAATATCCGCTGTCTTTTATACGTTATACAGTCAGGGTAAGAAATCTTTTTTTCCTCTATTATAAAAATGCAGAAAGGTCAGTTTATTTTACAAGCAAATAACCAAAGTTAAAGCGACTGCAACCAAGGGGGGAAGCAGCAGGCCAGCTGAACAGTGTCGACCAGGACAGAAACACTACAGGAGAGAACGGGGGAATCGAGATATGCAGTTATACCTAAACGTTCGCAAACAATTAGCCTTTGAGTGACAGATACATAGAGCCTATGTTCGGCAAGCAAGTCGAACAGTATACCAAATACTGTAGCTTAATACCAAAACAAATAGACAAACGTGAAGTAATAGTGAAATAACCCACGTTTGTCTTGTTTCAATCCGTCTATCCGCCTGTGTGCGCGCGCTGGGAAAATACAATCGGGCTGCGCGCGCGTCTGCGTATCTATGCATGTAGATCAAAAGTAAACTACAAGCGAAAAGGGAAAGTAGAAACGCTAAAATATGAATACACAGTTTTATGTCAGAAACGCCTGGATCACAGACGGCACCCAATGATTTAAGTGAGACAAAAAAAGCCTATCTTGCCACAACTGCTAAAATAGCAAAGAAAACCCAACAGCAAAAAGAGCATCTAATAAGAACCAGACAAGAAGACGGATCATGTTTGTTCCTTTGCCGGTGCCGTTTGTCTTGCCGAGAACTGCCTCTGATCTCCACGCCTGGCGCCTGAAGTCCCCGCTGGCTCTCCGCTCTCACTCCGGTAAGGCTTTCTTCCTCAACAACCATCTTTTCTTCCCTCCCAATCCCGAATCCGGTGAAACCTCCCTAGTTCATCCCACTCAGTGGCATAATCCCCGTAATTCACCGTGCGAATGAAACATCCTTATGTGCCGTTTTCTGTTTGTGTCGCGCGCGCTTGCCGACCTTTCCAAAATTTCAGTTTAGTCCAAAAGACGCGAGTCAAGTTTGTCTACAGCAAAACTAGCACTGCACTGTCGCGCTTCGAAATGCAGGGCAGGTCGGTTTTGTTTTGTGAAAGTGTTTCCTGAATGTATTCCTGTCTCTCGATGGGCTCCGCATCCGTCCGTCTCCTTCTCTCGCCTCTGCCTCTGCCTCCGTCTCCCCCGAACTAAACTCGCGGTGAGCTGGGAATATTCATGCCAACTTATCGATCTCCGCAGGATCGATTCCGGGGCCGGCGGATCGAGGGGAGAGAGGAGAGAATCAGAGCAGCTGCAGAGACCAGAGAAATGAGCATTTATGCTATTTAGACATCTTATGTTTGGCTCACAAATATTATTGTAGCCTATAGTATGAGGGGCATGTTTAGACAGGTGCACGTGTGATCGGCTATAGCCTAACCTTATTAAATGGATGATCACATACATCGTGTATAATGTGATTTGCACCTTGTTTTTTGCTCTTAGAGACGGGCGAAGTGCAAACGGACGACTTGCTACGTTAATGTTTTCTTTGCGGGAACTTTCCGGTTGTTCGGTGGCCACATAAAGATGAAAACAGAAAAGGAAGGAGGATGGAGAAGGAGGGGGTGGAGTAGGAGGATATGGGTGTTGTCTGAATTGAGAAGAGGCATAACTGCATAGCAAGCTGCTGTTTACTGGGCATGTGACAATCTGAGAATAGGCTACAATGGAAATGTTCTGTAAATGTATAAAGAAATTATTTTCTGGATAAATTGTATTTTCATTATTTGGATTGTAAATTGGTGTGAAATGTTGCTTCATCTAAGTCTGTTGTAAACAACATTTTGCTTTTGTATTATTCATGCAGTTCTAATGAGCTCATATTAATTGAGATATTGCATGGAATAGGCTATCTGCAATGATAATATTTGGCTACTTTAAAAAAAATAATCAGGCTACATATTTGGTTATTAAATGGTTACTAAAAATTAGAGGATGATACAAATTATTGTATACATTTATTAGAATTTCAATCAATTTGTCTGCCCATATGTGATCTTTCTCCTTATGATGAAAATCAAGTCTTCAGATGTCACTTTTGTCCATTTGTACAATGGAAAGTGCTGTGCCTTATTTTTGGTCAGACTTTTTTTTTTTTGCAACCCCATTTTACCTACAGTGGTTAGTGGGATTGCATTTTTTTTCTGTAATTTTACAGTTTTATCTTTTGCGTAACTTACAGATAGCCTTAGAGGTTTTCATAGGCTTTCTTTGGGACTGAATAATGATACAAGATGGTTAAGGGGAAGGATAATGAGCCTTTTCCCCTCAGAGATTAACAGGGCCAGGGAGAGGAGGAGTTTCATGCCCCTTTCGCTGAAAAATAGCGAGTGTCAAAAGAAGATAAAAAAAGAGGGTCGAAAAAGAAAAAGCTGTGGAGCACTAAAGGAAAGTAGGTGCAGATGACAGTGAAAAAATGGGAACAAGTATGGAAAACCGAGTTTGAGAAGGAGAGGTGATCTTGAGCTCTAGACTCAGATTGTATGGATGCGGTTGCTCATCAGTTATGAATGATAAGCAAGGCTGTAAACGCTTGTTTCACATAGAAGTGGGTGATTGGCATGTGGAAAATATTTCATTAAAAATGTATAAATTCTGGTTTGTTTCAATATTTATACCTTCACAGTCAGCTAAACCTTTAAAAAAGCAGTCAGCTAACCCACTAAAATCTGAGCGCATCAGTCCTTATTTCTTCAATTCATGATGTCAAATACCATTACGGCCAGCTGAAATATCCATATCCCATCAAAGTCTCTTAATCACCATTAGAGAGAGCAGAACCTATTTAACTATTGTCCAGTTACTAATATATGCATTTGCATTAGAAAGCAGACATAGACATGAGACATAGACATGACAGAGGCAGAGAAAGAGATAATCAAGCCCAATTCTTGTAAGTGGTCTTGGGAATTATTG